TGAATAAATAAATAAATCTTAAAAAAAATGTCAATTATGTTTTTCAAAGAAGTAGAAAAAATATTGATGAAATTCTTATGGAGCCACAAAAAAAAACTCAAATAGCCAAGGCTCTTCTAAATAAGAGAGATGGGGATGGAGATTACACATTCCCAGACTTCAAATTATACTACAAAGCAATAATAATTAAAATTGCATGGTAACTGGAACAAGAACAGACATACAGACCAATGGAGTCAAATAGAAAACCCAGATATAAATCCACAGCTTTATGGACAGTGAATCTTTGACAAAGGAGCAAAGAATATGCAATGGAACAAAGAAAGTTTGTTCAATAAATGGTGCTGGGAAAGCTGGTCTGCTATAAACAAAATAATGCAGCTACATTGCTACCTCATGCCATACACACAACCCAACTCAAAATGGATTAAAGACCTAGACATTAGACCTAAAACCATAAAATATATAGAAGAAAATATTGGTGAAACACTATACAAACTATACTTCAGTAACATCTTTAAAGATACATCACCCAAAACAAGGCTAGCGAAGGAAAGGATAAACAAATTGATTCTGTACAGCAAAAGAGACACTACATAAAACAAACAGACATCCCATCGACTGGGAGAAAATTATCGCACATAATACAAATGATAAAAGACTGATCACAGAGATATGCAAAGAGCTGATGAAACTCAACAAATAAGAAGCAAACAACCCCATCAAAAAATGGGCAGGAGAGCTACGAAGACACTTCTCCAAAGAGGAAATGCAGATGGTGAACAGGCATATGAAAAAATGTTCAACATCACTTGTAATAAGGGAGATGCAAATTAAAATCACAATGAATACCAACTCACACCAGTGAGAATGGCACATAGTAAAACAACTAGCAACAACAAATGTTGACATGGATGTGGAAAAAAGGAACTGCTATAGTGCTGGTGGGAATGCAAACTGATGCAACCACTATGGAAAGCTGTGTGGAGGCTTCTCAAACTGCTAAAAATGGAGCTTCCCTGTGATCCAGAAATTCCACTCCTAAGGATCTACCCAAAGGACACAAAAATAATAATTCAAAAGAACACCTGCACCCCTAGTTTATTGCTGCCCTATTTATAATAGGGAAGATGTGGAATCAACCCAAATGCCCAAAAATAGATGACTAGATCAAGAAGATGTGGTATACACACACACACACACACACACACACACATACATATACTGGAATATTATGCAGCAATCAAAAGGATAACCTCATGCCATTTGCAGCAACATAGATGGAACTGGAAAACATCATGCTTAGTGAAATAAGCCAGAAAGTAAAACAAAAATGCTGGAGAGTTTCACTCATAGCAGTGATCAAAAGGGATCAAAAGGTGGGGGAGGGGAATGCAATCAAGTATAGACAAAAATCAACAATTATAAGCCAGAGATATTCTCCAGGGGTGAAAAGGGGAATAGGTTCAAAACTGGGGTGGGAAAATCACATGTGACTATGGTGATGGCACATGGGTTAATTGGTGGCAGAAAGTCCATGAGGATTACAACTAAGATGAAAAAATGTACAAAATGAAGATGTAATATATATATATATATATAAAATCATATAAAAATTTTTAAAAGAAAGAAAAAAGAAGTGTTATAACCTGATAAAATCGGGAAGTTCCCTGAGAATTTCAAGTCTAAATTACTGAAGAAAGAAGATGCCATGAGCAGAAATGAGCAAAAAAGGCAGGGAAATTGGTTCAGGGAATTTAGTTTTTGACCACATAAACTGGAAGAACAATGGAAGATGTAAATGAAACTATCCAGTGAGCAATTATGCATTGAGAGAAAGGTCAGGCCTCAAACAGCATGACATTACAGGAGCTCTGAGAGTGAGCCAACTTGAGACTTAGTTTCTGCTCTGCCACTACTTACTAAATCATGTTCAAATCTTCTCTTTTGGTCTGTTTCCTCCTTTGTAAAGTGAGAAGGAAATATGTGATCCCTAATGTACTCTCAGGGACTGAGTCGACTGAACTGTATGCACACGCTATATATATATATTCTTTCCAAAGGAAAATCCAGGAGCAGAAGGCAGGCTAGGGGGATTAAGTAATCCCCAAAAGTTCTAACTGTGAAAATCACAGGAACTCTATTCACTTAGGGAATAGAAGAGAAATAGAAGTCAGCAACGGAGACAGCAAGGAAGAATAAGTGATAAAAATAAGAGGAAAGAAATTCAAAAGCAAGGGAATAAAATAATGAAAATGTAAGGTATTATTATAAATGAAATAAATATTTATATAAAATATGACAAAGGGTTAAAATGTATGCTAAATAAAGAATACATTTAGATATATAAGAATAGCAGTAAGTTGCCAGCTGGAGAAGGATATGAACAGCTGACATAAGAGGAAATGCAAATAATAAACACATGGGAAAGTGTTCAGTCCCATGAATAATCAAAGAAATGAAATTAGAAAATTAATGTTAATGCCATGCAAAAAGATTTGTTAAAAATTCAAAGCTTCAAGGGAACTGGAACACTCATGTGTCTTTGTGGTGCTGAGAATTGTGCAGTCCTTTGGAAATCAAGGTCCATAAAAACATTCATGCTCTTCGATCTGGTAATCTCACTCTTGGGAACTTGTCCTAGGAACAGAATTACAAAGAAGAAGAAAGATATATGCATTAAAATGTTCAAAGCACAAAAATGTTTGGAATTACCTAGATAGACATCTAGGTAATAATAGGGGAAGAGTCAACCTAAACAGAATCTATTTATGAGTCCATTTATCTATTATCTATTTATAATTCTATGCCACTCTATGCAAGACTATTGCAACAGGGAGAATAGTTGCAATAGAAAGTTTCTTAATATCAGGATTTTAAAAGGTACATACACTATGATAAGACTTATATATCTGTACACAAACTGAAAAAGCTAGGGACATGGAACATGAAAACAATTGTCTAGGGTTTGGAAGTAGAGCGTTTTTTCTTTTTTCTTTCAAAGTTTCCTTTAATGTCACAGTGTAATTTTTTGTGATATTTAAATGCATTTTATTTTAGAAGAATAAAGCTAAGAAGGCAAACAGAAATTAACCCTTAAAGCAGCATCATTGAGCTAAAGTGTTTCCCCTTATGCTCATTAATGTTCTTTTTTTATTACTTATATGCATTTTATGTTATTATTCAGTTTTCTTTTTTTTTTTCACAGTGTTTGTTTTCTTTTCTCAGGTGTAGTCCCCTTAGAATTTCTACCACCAATTGACCCGTGCACCCTCACCAAAGTCCCTGGTATTCTTCCCACCCTCAATTTGTTTTCTTTCCCTCCCACACCCCTGCAGAATGTCTCTGATTTATAGTTGTCTATTTATTTTTGTTTTGTTGTATGGTGTTTTCTCATTGTTATTATTTTCCCCTGATCCTTTAATTCCCATATATTAATCCTATAAATGAAACCATCCAGTAGTTTTCTTTTACTTCTGTCTTATTTCATTGAGCATGATCCCTTCCAGCTCCATCCATGTTGCTGTGGTTGGCATGAGTTTATTTTTTTTGATTGCTGAATAGTGTATAAATACCACATCTTCTTGATCCAGTTACCTGTTATTGGATTGTTTCCAAGTCTTGCCTATTACAAATAGTGCAATAAACATAAGGGTGCAGGTGTCCTTTTGAATTAGTATTTTTGTGTCCTTTGTGTAGATCCCTAGGAATGCAATTGCTGGATCATATGGCAGCTCCATTTCTAGTAGTCTGGGGAAACTCAACACAGCTTTCCATAGTGATTGCGCCAGTTTGCACTCCCACCAGCAGTGTAGGAGAGTTCCTTTTCCACCACATCCTCACCAACATTTGTTGTTTCTAGCTATTTTTAATATGTGCTATTCATACTGGTATAAGGTGGTATCTCATTGTGGTTTTAATCTTCATTTCCTGATTATGAGGGATGTTGGGTATTTTATCATATACCTGTTGGTCATTTGCATTTCCTCTTTGAAAAAGTGACTCTAAGTTCTTCTTCCCATTTTGACTGGATTATTTACTTAGTTTTTATTGAGTTGTGTAAGTTCTTTGTAGAGTTTTATGATCAATCCCTTGTCAGTTGTGTGGAGTGCAAAAATCTTGTCCCAATCAATATGGTGTCTCTTTGTTTCAGTTACTGTCTCTTTTGTTGCACAGAGCTTTTTAATTTGATGTAATCCCAGCTATTTATCTTTCCCTTCACTTTCTTTGCTTTGGGGATTGAGTCTTAAGATGTATGTCTTGTAGTGTTTTACCTATATTTTCTTCTACATATTTTATGGTCTCAGGTCTCATATTCTGTTCTTTTATCCATTCTGAGTTGACTTTTCACAGTGTAATTTTTGAATGGTGTTCTTAAAAATTTAAAGAAGATATGCAAGAGTGTCATGGAAAATAGAGACACCAATGAAAGTAGAGAAAAGATCATTAAAGGTCATGCTTATGAGATGGTTTGTGTTCTGTGGGTACAAAAACATGTTGGAAGGAAACAAGATTCAGATAGTCAAAGGGTAACTCTGTGGTGAGGAAATGGGGTTTATAGTATCCTTCCTGGAAATTTGGCAATGACATGAATAAGAAGAATAGCAGCTAAAAGAGACAGCAGGATTAAGGTAGTGATGATGCTTTCTTTTAGCTTGCTTGGTTTTATTGTGTTTTTAAATACAGGATAAAATCATTTATGGAAAATACTGAAAATGATGAAGAGGGAAAACAAAAGAACATGAACTAGGGCTACTTATTCTAGGGCTGCGGGGGGGGGAGTAAGATAAAATGGATATAGAAGTAGAGTTATTGTGAGTGAAGCAGAGAGAACTTGAGGCATTTTGTCATCTCAACTTTATAGGCTGTAAGGTCATAGAATAGGGTGGACTTAGAGCCTAAAGAAGATGGAAAAAAAAAAAAAACAGTTGCTCTGAAATGCTCAGAAGTTCAGCAGCACCAGAGGAATGAGAGCTTAGATGAAGTTCCAAGATATGAAGCTACCCTTGTGGGTAAAACCAGCCTTGTGTTCTGGCTTCATCCTCAATACCTTCCAGTCCTAGGAGAAAGGAGAAGACTGGTATGAGGTGAGAGTCAAGGTGTTGAAATAACTAAAGTTAGAGCATGAAAGAAGAAGGCAGCTCTAAAGTAGCAGACCACAAGCTTGGGCATTTAGTCTTGATTGAACATGTGGGAAGTATATGGCTGCAGAACTGGAGGAGGCTAAATTAGTTATGATGGACAGAGACGTTTTACTCAGTGGAACTGAAGGGCTGAAGATATGATGGGCTAGGAGACTGTCATAAGAATGAGAGAGTACAGATAAGTATTAGGGTACATAATGATCTGGGTGTGGCCACGAGACTGGGAGATTAGTAAGAAGGCCGGTTCATCTAATCCTAATGGAAGGGATCTTGAATAATAGGCAGCTCCTGGATGCCTAGGAAGGAAGGTGGCGGGGGGGGGGGCGGCTCTTAAAAGAATGAAAAAGGGGACTCAGGAGGCACTGGAGTCATTTCTTCCTGAATACAAGCCCTAACCTTATTCTCTAGAGACCACTTAGAATCCAGTAGACAAGAAAGAGCCCAAAGACAGGTCAGCAAGGGTAGAGCAAAAGTAAAGGAAGGCTGGAGATTCAAGAAACCAATGGACTGAAAGGCAACTTCTGGGGTGAGATGTCTAGAAGCCTTAGCCACCTTTCTCATGAAATTCTTACTTCCCCAAAACTTCCCAAGGGTTGGGGGTTAACTTCAAATTCTGTATCCCCCTCCACTCCTGTAAACCCATTAGCACTACAGTAGATGTGGGAGCTGTCATAATCCCAGGGCCCTGTGCTGGCCTCAGAATCCTAAAGCTTTATCTCCAAGATCTGGTAACATAGTTATCATTTATCTAGGGCAGGGACTAGAGAAAGAAGAGAGACCAGTGAAGAGCCAGCTCTGGGTATCGATCCCGGTTTAGAGGCCAGTCTCTGAACAAACCTGCTCTACCCCTCCGTGCTGGAAAACACAGTCTTAGACATAAGTGCAACTCCCTCTCAGCCTGAGCCATCCATTTTTTCTTTCATTATGTGAAGGAAACTGTTAAATATGCTCTCAGCAGTCATTGTGATGACACTCCCATTCCTGTATCATTGGCATGGGCCCTGGCCCTGGAGTCTCCTCAGTGTTCCCACCCCACAGTTATGACTCAGGGCTCCCTCTCTTCCTCAGGGCTACACACCACGTGGGGCCCTGATATCCAGGGTCTCTGAGATTATGCTCTATTTCATCACCTTGGTAAGCAAGACTATCCTGTCTTTGAGAAGAAATCAGGACATGGGTGCGGTCCTTAGTATCTGTGATATGCTGGTATCCCCACTTCCTGGCTCTCTCACCATCAGATAAATCGGCCAATCCTGAGATTACTCCAGCATCCCCACCCCTCCAGTTCAATGCTCTGGTCTGGCTGGAGAAACACATGTGTTCCAAGGATGTAGACAAGTAAGAGAGTGGTAGGAGACCTGGAGAAAATTTCCAGGAAGCTGTTAATGAGCAAAAAAGCACAACCAATGTCCCCAGAAATGGGACAGAAAGAGAGAAAGCAGTAGAGAAGGAGGTCTGGCTCAAAAGGAGACACAAGTTAAGGGCTTATGAGAGATTGAGGTCTCATGTGATTTCTCTGGCTCCCCCATCCCTCAAAATGAAGGTCTCTCTCCAGAGAGTGGAAAAGGAAACTGCCAAATCAGGTGCTGCTATTAAGTTCCTCACCTCTGCCCTGCACTCACACCCCCATTTCTCACTTCCAGCATTACAAATTTCTATCCTAGGGGTAGGGCAGCTGCTGCTGTGCGGGGTGGCTCTCCGCCAGCCACTTCTATCATCAGTCAGGGAAACCAGAGCCAGAGAGGAAGCAGTGGTAGGAGGCTGGGGCCTCACACTCCCACAGAGATGCTGGAGCTGACATCGATACTTATCCCCCATGAGCAAGTAGAGCACAGGATCCAGGCAGCTGTTGGCACTGGCCAAGGGCCGAGTCACCTTGTAGACCACATTGATGATGTTCAGCACCTGCCAGTCAGCTTCCAACAAACTTTCCATGTAATAAATGGTGCGGCTGATATGGAAAGGCACAAAGCAGACAGCAAAGACAGTCAACACCATAGTGATGGTCTGAAGAAAACGTAGACGAGAAGGTGACTGGGCAGCCCCTGGCAAGAGCCGATACAGTCGCCGGGCCATAAGACCAGAGCAGACCAGAATAACCAGGCAAGGTATTCCAAAGAGCAGTCCCGAGACTGCTGAGCTGAAGTGCACGTAGTGGTTAAACTCTTCTGGCTGAGTGGTGTCATGGCACAGGGTGGTGGTACCCGTGGTGCTGGTTGTAACAAAAAACAGGCTGGGAATGAGGCAGCTGGCTACCACCAACAAAACTGCCAGGCAGAAAAGGCTTGCCAGGCGTGGGCGGCCCCAGCATAGTCCCTGAAGTGGGTGGCAGATGCTCAGGTAGCGGTGAACACTGATGCAGGTGAGGAACAGGATACTGCAGTACAGTTTCCAATAGAAGAGAAAGCAGATGAACTTGCAGAGCTTGGTGCCAAAAGGCCAGTGGTTGCGGGCCGCATAGTAGTAGATGAGGGTGGATAACGACAGCACATACAAAGTGTCTGACAAGGCCAAGTGGAACATGTATGTAGCTGTTGCATCCCCGGGTCGGAGGCGAAAGAGAAAGAGCCAGAGGGCTGTGGCATTGAGGCCTAGACCCAGCACAAACACAACTGCATAGCTCACAGGCAGCAAGGTGAACTTGAACTCCTCATCAAACCAGCAATCCAGTTCTACCACACTGTCACTGGGATATGAGCCAGGACCCAGAGTTGTGGACAGCAAAGGTTTTGCACTGGCCATGGTCCTCCTAAAAGTGGAATATGAATAAGTGAGTATGATTAAATTTTCCTGGCCTATCAGCCCTGATTGGACACAAAAAAAAAGCAGAGAATGGGAGGTCAATGGTTGAAGCACTACAGCGAGCTAAGAGAAGTGCAGCTGAATACAACCCAGATCAGCCTGGCCACTGACTGAGCTCTTTTGGTCTACTCCAGGGATTAGTGGGCAACGGACAGCTGGGCTTCAGAAAGACAATCAGTGGACCTGGGTTATTCACCTTTTGCAACTGACTGTCTTTCAAAGCCTGGCTAGCTGAAGGAAGTGGAGGCCTACCAAGACTGTTCAGTGCAAGAAGTTCTCCAGACACAAACTAGCTCCTAGCTTAGCACAGCAGTTGTTCCTGTGAAGAAAGCATCTCTCTGTACAGTACCTTCTCTATTCTCAACATGGTCCTGGAGTTTCCATGCTAGAAAACTTTGATGGATGCCTGCCCCGAACATGGTGCAACCCAGGCACCCCATCACCACCTTTACCCAAGCAACCTGGCACATCCCCTACCTGGTTCCCTTGAAGCTGAACACAGCTGACTCTGTCACTCTTCTCCTTGGCAGCCAGAGGGAATATCCAGAAAGGCAGGGTTGGGGCCAGGGACTGTCCCTCCTCCCTACCTGGCCAGTCCCAGGAGATTGTCAGAACTAGATTACCGACGCCCACCCATTCACTGCCCAAATTGGCAAACTGGGACCCAGATTGGTTACTGTTTAACAGCTTCTAAATGACTATAGAAGAGAGTACACGAAGAAAGGTCCAAGGTTATAGATGAAGAGCCAGGCCACTAGAGATTAAAAAAAAAAAAAGCTATAAGGAAGATCATTCAAACCTGTATAAATGAGAAGTGAGAAATTATATATGGGAAATTAACTTAACACAGGTGGGAAAGTGTAAAATAAAACATTAAAAGAGTTTTGAAAACCTAAGCTACTGATATAAATCTTAAGTCATTATGATAAAATTACAACAAATAGTTATTTGACCTTTCTATGTTCAAGGAACTAGTCTAGGTGCTTTATATTCATTAATGGCCTCCCAGGTTCTCTATGAACCTGGGTATTATTATGATTGGCCCTATATTGCTGATGAGAAAATAAAAGCAGAGAGTTTAGTTATATTTTTTAATAATAGTAAAGCCAAGATTTGAATCCAGAGCCTCCCTGGTGATACAGGGGATAAGTCTCAGCATGATGAAGCTATCACCAGCCACAGGGCCTGAGTTCCCCGGCCAGGGAGCTGACCCACAAGGTGCAGCAGAACTCTTCTGTCTCTCCTGGTGCTCCCCTCAGTACTGTATTTCAGTAGATACACCTGTTCTGCTCCCCACTCTGTCTCTGGTGAAGCCTCTCATCCTCCACACTTCTGGCCTAAGCCCCAGTTCTTGTATGCATAAATAAATAAAAATAAAAAAGATTTGTGTCCAGGCAGGCCTACCTTTGAACCAGGGTCTAACATCCATGTTCTTAAAGACTATGCATAGTCGCCTCTGTAAGTCACTAACCATGATCCAGAAAAGAATAAACAAATATTTACTGAGAACCTACTACGTGCTTCGTTTAGTTCTCGGCATTGGTAAACAAAATAAATAAAAACTTGCACTCTGGTGAAGATTACATACTAGTGAGAGGGAAAAGAATGTAATTAATAAGTAAGATGTAGATTGTGGTCATTACTATGGGGAAAAATAAAGGAGGGAGGAGGAATAGAGAAAGAACAAGGAAATCAGAGAGGTTGCTGTTTTAAATATTGGGATGACTTCTGATAAAAGACAGTGATTATAAGGAAGGGGAAAATGTAGAAATGAGCTTAGATAGCTTGGGAGGGACCAATCATGAAGGTTCTTGAATGCCATTGTGAGGACTCCTTGGCTTTTACTTGCAGTGAGTGGGAAGCCATGTAGGGTTTAAAAGAGACAGGCATCACACTCTCAGTTACAGTTTAGAAAGATCACTGGTTTAGAAAGATCACTGTGCTGATAAAAGACAAAAGGGCTTGGGCACAAAAGAAAGAGCAGCTCAGAGCCAATTGCCAATGATGTAATAGGAGTTTGGACCAGGACGGTAGAGATGTTTAGAAGTGATCATACTCTGGCTAAATTTTGAAAGTAGAGTCGATATTTATTCATGTGGTGGTGAGAAAATGAAAAGATTCAAGAATGACTCCAAGATTCCTAGCTTGCCAACTGGAAGGATGGAGCAAATATTGACAGCAAAACAGAGTACTTGCAGGAGGAGCAGGTTTGAGGACAGATCAGTAACTCATTTTTCAGCCCATCAATTTCAAGGTACCAATTACTGGCCTTAAAAGAGCAACACAGCTCATGCCTGAGAGGCACATCACAACTCATTGTCAAACCATAAGCTGGTCTGTGTCAAGCTGCAAGCCACACAAGTGCCCCAGACAGGATGGCAGCTCCATTCAGCTTCTCAGCAGCAGTGGTATGCCAACTCTGGGCGAGGCCCAGAGCACCACTGACTATAAGCACCACATTCTCAGAACTCAACCAAGCCTGACCATTGTGACATAGCTAAAGCAAGCCAACAGACCTTCCTACTGTTCTGCCCCAATATAGAATGCAAAGGTGGGGCAGCACACACAGGGAGTGCCTAGTTCCGTACGGAGGGAACTCCTGAACTCCTTGGGACATCGCCTGAACAAAGACCAATCCCTCAGTAGCAGGGATGTGAGAAAGTGCTGTTGGGCCACAGCTTGAAGCGTGTCCTGGTTCATGATGCCAGCATGCAAGAAAATAGTCAGGAAGCCCTGGTCAGGAGGACAAGTCCTTATTGAAGCAACTGGAGACAAGATACATACCACAGCAACATTTGCAGCGTCCACATTCCCAGGTGACTAGTAGGCATGGGGCACAGGTGGCAGCAGCAGAGGCAGGTAGGTGGCCCTGGGCAGGCTCGGGCCCATCAGGCCCCTTAGGCCACTCAGGCCCCACAACCATGGGAGCAGCAGCAACAGAAAGGGCATCAGTCAGTGGCAGTAGTCCCTCTAGGCTCTGGCAGCAGTAGGTGACCCCCCTGAGGAGCCCTATTAATTTTATATGATTTGTAGACAAAGCCAGCACAAGGCCAACTTTATGCTTAGGTTACAGAGTATGTTTTTGTACATATGAATGATATACATCAAGGTATATGTTATTTTGCTTTCTGCACATGCTATATCCCAGGGCTATATGCTATCTACTAGAGCACCTATGCTGGAAGGTTACAGTGAAAAACAGCCTGAGAAGACTCTATGTATTTTCATTTGCCCTAAAGTTGTCTAATACATATATAGAGGCAAAGACAAATAATCAGGCAGAATGGAAAGATAAACAATTTCCAAACAAAGAAAGCAAGACAAAACAAACAAAAAAATAGAGATAAGCAAACTACCCAATGAAGAGCTCAAGGTCATGATTATAAAGATGTTCATCAAACAGGGGGGAAGATTCAACGAAATTCAAGAAAGAACCAAAAAGAAGTTACAGAGTTGAAGAATGCAATAATAGAATTGAAAAATCCAATAAAGGGGACCAATAGCAAACTGAGTGAAGCAGAGGAGCTGGAAGACAAGCAATAGAACTCACCCAAGCAGGACAGCAAAATGAAAAAAAAATGTGTAGATAAATTTAAAGAACATAAAATTCACAACATCAAGAGGAATATTGTTTACATTTTGGGGATTTCAGAAGGAAAAGAGAGAAAGGGCCAAAAAATTACTTGAGGAAATAATGACCAAAAGCTTCCCCAGTCAGTGAGATATCATCTCACACCCATGAAAATGACATATATTAAAAAGACGACCAACAATGATTATTGGAGAGGTTGTAGAAGAAAAAGAACCCTATTACACCAATGGTAGGAATGTAAAATGGTGCAGCTATTATGGAAATAAAACTGGGTTTACCTTTAAAAACTAACAATGGAAATACTAGATGACCCAGCAATCCCACTCTTGAGCATATATCCAAAGACCCACATGTTCCATAATTTCCATAGCAATGTTATTTATAGTAGTTAGGACTTAGAAGCAGCCTAAATGTCCAACAATGGACTTTGAATCAAGAAGACTGTGGTATAAACATGCAATGGAGTGTTGTGTGTCCACAACGATGGAATGTAGCCATTTTCAAAAAATAAAATAAAATGGAACGAATTTGAGATAATTAAATGTAGCAAAGAAAGTCAGACTGGATATTGGACATTCACATAGTGACAATTTGATAATGTGACACTTAAAACTAAAAACAGTAAACATCAATAAATACCCTGAGAGCTCTAGGTTAAGAAGGAAGGTGGCAGGAAAGGGGCAAAGTTCTATAAAAGATGATGGCGGTGGCACAATGGGTTAGGATGCAGCACTGCAAGCTAGCCGCAGCCGCTTCGATGCGAGTTCAATCCCTGCCCCGGAGGTGATCCACATGGTATGGCAGACCTTTCCTGACCTGCCTGCTGCTCCCTTCAGCAATGTATTTCATTGATCTGCCTTTTTCTGCTCCCTACTCTGTCTCTGGTGAAGCCTTTCACCACCCCTGCATCTCTGGCCTGTACCCCAGTTCTGTGTGCATAAATAAATGTATCTTTCAAAAAAAAAAAAGACGATGGTGGAGAAAGAAATAATTGTAGAACAATATGGAAAAACTAAAACCCAGTGCATTGTACACTAAGCAAGTACATTTTATGGTATTTGAATTATATCTCAATAACATTGTCAAAAGTAAATAAAAACAGAAATTGACCAAAAAAAGGGAATAGTTTCTGTAAACAATCAAGTTAAGATGAGCTTACTAGGGTGGGCCTTATCCAACAAGACTGAAAAGGTGAAAGTTGGCCATAGATAGACATACCAGAGGAAAGGCTGTGAAGAGATTCGGGCAGAGCACTATGCGAAGACAAAGACAGAAATCAGGGCGATCATCAGTAAGTTAAGGAGCACCAAAGATTGTTGGAAAACCACCAGAAAGTAGCAGAGGCCTGGAGCAGGTCGCCTTTCATAGTCCTCAGGGAGCAAACACTGTGGACACCTTGACCTCAGACAAATAGCCTCCAGATTGCGGAATAGTAAATTTCCATTGCTTAAGCTAAAAAAAAAAAAAAAACTAGACACAATTAAAAAAATCCCATCCTGTCTTAGAAATCTAGGAAAAGGAGAAGAAGCAGTTCAGAAAAGAACATTTATAGCTTTTAAACCAATGAAGAATTATATTCCCTCATACTTAAAAAAAAAAAAAAAGTAGCTTCTAAAAAAAAAAAACTTCCCATTCTGGAAGAGAAACAGACATCAAGTGCAGGAATCCCAGAGTTCCAAATAAGAGAAACCAAAGAACAGCAACCCTTCTGCCCACCTGTGACTGTACAGATGTGTCTCTTCTCCAAACTTTTCCTTTTGCATATCAGCAGAGAGCTCTCCCCACAGGACTGTGTACCTGTGACTATACAGGCCTCTCTCTTAGCAAACCTGCTCCTTTCAGTGGCAGCTTTTTCTGCCCATTTGTGTCTATGGAAGTGTCCCTTATTCTTCTCCCCATTTTTATAACGAACCCTCTCTTAGGCAATACAAATAGCCAACAGGTATATGAAAAAAAATGTTCAACATCACTTATAATCAGGAAAATTCAAATCAAAGCCACAATGCGATATGACCTTACAATAGTGAAAATGGCACATATTTTTTTTTAAAAAAGGCATCAAATGTTGGCAAGGATGTGGAGAAAAAAGAACTCTCTGACACTGCTGGTGGGAATGCAAACTATTCTAGCCACTATAGAAAGCTGTGCAAAGAAAGGTTCTTCAAACTACTAAAAATGGAACTACCATATGACCCAGCAATTCCACTTCTAAGGATCTATCTGACAGACACAAAAGCATTAACTCAAAAGGATACCTGCACCCCAAAGTTTATTGAAGCACTAGGTACAGTAGATAAGATATGGAAACAACCCAAATGCCCAATATTAGATGACCGGATTAAGAAGCGTTTATTGTGTGTGTGTGCATGTGTGCATGCACACACACACAATGGAATACTATTCAGCAATCAAAAAGATAAACTCATGCCATCCACAGCAACATGTATAGAGCTAGAAAGGATCATGCTCAGTGAGATAAGTCATAGGAAAAAGAGAGACATCAGATGGTTTCACTTAGAGGATGAATCTATATTCATCCAAATAAGGGATTGGGGCAAAAACAGTAATAATAATAACAATAATTATCAGGTAACCATAAATCAGAGACATTCTGCAAGGGAGGGGGCGGAAAAGGGATCAAAATGGGAGAAAAGAGCATAACGAACTATGGTGATGGTTAATGGGTGAATTGGTGGTGGGAATTATACAGGAATACACATGATGTAAAAATATAAATAAACATAAATTAATAATAAAATAAAAATAAACCTTCCCTCTTGAATATAAAAAAGAAGGAACCCAAGCGATCCACACTAGGACATGTTATAATTAAAGTAACAAAAATGAAAGAGAAGATCTTAAATGTAGCATGATAAAAACAACTTGTGTGCCCTCCCTTGTGGGACAACAGGTTAAAACACAACACTATGAAGCTACCACAGCCGCAGAACCTCGATCCCCAGCCAGGGAGGTGAGCCACATGGTGCGGCAGACCTCTCCTGTCTTGCCCGCTGCTCCCCTCAGCAGTGTACTTTGTCAGTCTGCCTGTTCTGCTTCCCACTTGGTCTCCGGTGAATCCTCTCACCACCCCTGCACCTTTGTCCTGTACCGCAGTTCTGTATGCATAAATAAATAAATATTTTTAAAAAAAACAGCTTGTGACAAAAAAGGAAAACTTCGAAAGGCTATCAGCAGAAGAGAGTGGCATGACATACTGAAAGTACTAAAGGGAAAGAACTTCCAACCAAGAATTCTATACACAGCAAGGCTAACATGCGGAATGGAGGTGAGATTAAGAGTGTACCAGACAGGTTAAATATAAAGGAATTCAATAGCACTAAATTTACCTTGAAAGAAATAACTGAAAAGAAATATTAACTAACATCAAGAAAACACACATAAGAAAAAGTCTCACCAGAAAAGGTAAATATATAGTAAAATTGATGGATCAAGCAGTTATAAATTAAGTATAATGATTAAAAGAAAGGTAGTAACAAAATCTGCAAGAATTAGGTTAAAGGTACATACAGACGAAGCTATAAAATGAAACATCAAAAATATAAAATGGAGGAGGGGACCAAAAACGTATAGTTTGGGAGCATGTTCAAATGTAAGTAGCTATCAACCCAAATAGAACATCATACCCATTGTTATATCTGAACCTCATAGTAACCACAAAGCAAAATCTTATAGCAAAAAATCAAAGAAACTGAACAAAACAAACAAATTCTGAAAATAGAATGGTGGTTATCAGAAGGGAAGGGTGTGGGGAATTGGGTAAAAGGGTTCAGTGGTATGGTGATAAATGGAAACTAGACTTTTGGTAGGAATCAGAACATGGTATAACAGGTGTCAAATTCTAAGGCTGTCTACTTGAAACCTATAGAAGTTACAGTGTTACTTCCACAAATTATTTTTAAATGAAAAGATGCCTATTACCCATGTAAGAGGTATGGCGAGGCAGCAGGTCACTCTTCTCCTGGGATAGCAGTCAACAATCTTCCTTTATAGACTCTACACCTTCCTCCACACTACCCCTCACCTTTCTGTCACTCTAGGAGACCCTGTCCTGAATATGGTGGAGAAAGTACTGAGAGCAAGCCTAAATGTTTGATAGCCAAGTGCTAAGGAAAGTGAAATTGTTCAGAGCTTTAGACCTGACGCTCCTGGAACTGAAATCCTGTGATGACCGAGATTGGAGGTCGTAGGTACAGGGAGCAGGTTCTGGGTCTGGAGGACTCAGGATGAGGTGAAGAGTGCTCTTGGGAAGGAGAGACTGGCTGGAGCAGAACCCCTTTTAAATGGAGCCAGAAAGAAATAGGACTCTGAATCTGACTCAGGTCCTGAGAATGTTGTCTGACTGGATCTTGGGAGGGAGAGGAGCAGGTAGCCTGCAAGGAAGACTCTCAAATTTAGAATCAAAATAAAAGAATGCTTAAAAACAGAATTTAGAATCTGTGTTTCCTGAAGGTCCAGAAAACTGATGGGGTAAAACTGAAGATCCTTGCCTGTGGCAGGGGATGGAAGGGCAGATAAAATAAAAGCCTGGAGGAAGCAGTCAGAGCCTGCGTCATAGATAGCTGGCTGCTGAGGTATGCATGCAAGGCCAGGTTCTTGAAGCCAGGCAGACATGAATTCAAGTCCTTAATCTTCCACGTGATTGAAATTTAGTTTCCACATCAGTGAAATGAGGATGATAACACCAACCTCTTAGGGTTTCCCAAATATTGAGGTGGTTAATGGTGTGAAAATACTTTGAAAAACAAAAATGTTGCAAATTTTTAAAGGAACTTTGTCTTATTACTGTGCTTCCAGGGATGAAGCAGGCTTCTTCAGAGGAGGACATGTGCCATTTTATATTTGGTGTACACAGGGATACGCTCCGATGTATACTACACTAGAGAGGCCCAGCCTGAGCCAGAGTGCTGCTCTCACTGCTTCAAGCTGGGTTAGCCTCCCTGCTGGGTTTTACCTTTTTAGCCCTGCTGGTGTCTTAGTTCTGCTGCTTCTACCACCACTGCCTCCCCCACCGTCTCCCAATCAAAGCTCTTAATGTCACCTTGACCAAAAGAAATCACGTGTGCCTTAGGAAGCACTGCAGACCATCTTTTTCTTTTCAGTGAAACACTTGCTCACATCCTGTGACCTTACTCTGTTCTCTCAGTCCTCTGCATGGTCCTTCTGATCCTCCCTGGCTCATTTCCCTCCTTCCCCCAATGTGAGCCTTTC